CAGGCAGAAACAAAAGCAACACCAAACGTTGTTCAAATATGGCATATAATGCAAATTCTCCTCCCCTCCTGTCTCCTCAAGAAAATGTCAAACCCAGGCTAGCTTAGACAAAAAGGTTGTGGGGTTGGTTTTTTTTTGATGGAAATGGTGAAAGTATTTTTTTAAAGGGACTGATATTTGCTATGGAAGATGTTAGGTTTCATACAGTAGATGCTTTTTTTTTTTTTTTTTTTTTCCCCTCCTGATTAGTTGATGTCAAGGTAACAATTGATTGTGTCTGTACACAGTAGCCTGAATTCTCTGCCACACATTTTTTTTTTCAGCCTTCATGTGTTAGTTATTGTCTTGATGTGTTTAGTCACAGCTTTTTCTGCATATATAACGTTCATGTAAAATATGTAAAAAGCAACCCCCATAGCCACTGGGTTACATATAAATGAAAAGGCTTATGTGAATTAATATTTTAATTGGCTTTGTGAAAAATAGTGAATCAACAAACCACTGCTATTTTGCTTTCTTAGATTTAATAGCAAGCTTCAGATTTTGCCTGTCTGGGAAAAGGAAGGTCTTTCAGTGTCTGAAACTACTCATCTGGCTACTGCAATTAACTGCAACAATCAGTCATTGCAAGCACTTTATGTCACTCTCTTAAATGCCCACAGAGGAAGTAAACTGCTTTTGAGGTTGCATTAAAAATACTAAAGTGAGTTTGATTGGGAATTAGGTTTAAGAACAATGCACCAGCATGGTGTCTTGCTGGAGTACTGTGCCTGGCTAGCACCAGTACTCACGCCTGTGCCTTGCTGGACATGTGGAGGATTGTGGTGTGCCAACTGTTTGAACGGTATGCCCCAGTTGAGATGGTGCAAAACCCAGGGGGGCACTGGGGAGCAAGAACTTGTAGTGTTTGTATTAGATGGAGTAGTTTGGCTTGGCCCTCAGAAGAGTGGAGCAAGAGTTAGAAGCAGTTGTTTAGGAGCAAGTGCTCCTAACCCCGGCTATCAAAAGACATGATAGCCACTGCTTTTCTCACTTGTTTTTTGGAACAGCCTGGAAGGTGGGGATGCTCCCCTCCCGTAGGTATCAGCTGCAGGCTTCAGTCCCCTTGCCTGGGGATGAGACTCAAATCTCCCACATTCAGCCTGAATGTCTGAAACTGGCTTTAGGCCATTATTTAAAATCTGGAAAAGAGCCAGCACTGCACAGCTCTTCAGCAGACATTGGTGTGCATCCGGCCTCCAGGGAAAACACTGGGATTCACATTGTAAGTGGCTGGAGCTGCTCCTCGGCAAGTCTGGCCCCAGCCCCGGCAGTGCTCAGCGCGTGTGGCCGCTCGGACACACACCTGTACCAGGTACTGCCCAGCTGATAGTAAACAGCCTTTGCAAGCTGGGTCCTTGGTGAGACTGTACCCCCGTGTGCACCGTGCTCATGTACCTGCTGGGGGACCACACGGGGCAAAGGGGGGGAGGTTTGCAGAAAGTTGCCTCTCTTTTAGCAGCCTAATGTCTTTTTGACCTAGTCTTAAAATCCTTGATCGAGAGTCTCATTCTTCTCCTCTCTCCTCCACAGCAGTAAGCAGTCACTGCCCTCATGCCCAACATCTGCTGGCTGAAGCTGGAAGTGCCCAACGGTGACCTGTGATTTCCCTCTGCTGCTCCCTCGCAAAGCACAAAGCTTTGTGTGAATCATGTTGTTGCTATTAAATGTTCAGTACATTATCTTGTCAGTAATACTTGACAATCTCAGTGCATAAAAATCTCTTGTTGGGTCCATTCCAGTAAATATGGGTGTGTATCTGTCTTCATGGCCAAGCTCCGAGTTTTTATATTTTTAGGCCCCTTGTTTGTCCCCCCCTGTCCCCCTTTGGATTGGTGCCTCCATCCCTCCCCACTCCCCACTCCCCGTGACACAAACAGTAACACTAAACTTAGAGCTCTTTCTGCCTGCTGGCGGGAGAGGATGAGTAACGGAGGCGGAGGAGTTGAGAAAGCCTCACTTGCAGCACGCTGGCTTCCACAGCCTGTGCTGTGCCGAGGTGTAAAAAAGTAAGTCAGCATTTCTGATTTGAGTTGCAAGTCTCCCCGTCAAGTCGCTTCTGCAGGCTCATACAACTCTCCCAGGACAAAATTATCCCTGAGCCCTTACATGCACTGCACACTGGGACTCCCAGAAACACACGAGTAAATGAATGGCTCTCTCTTCGTTTTTTGACTGCAGTCTACGTAACATTGGGGCCGAGACCGTATTTCTTACAGCAAGTTCCTATCCAGCGGCACCAGCCTTCAGCTTTTTAGTTTTTTTCTACAGGTGTAAACTCTCGCTCTGTAAGCGGTGGCAGCTGAGCTCTTGCAGCCATAATCTGGGGTGAACTGGGTGTTCTTCTCAAAAATATCTTTCCCCCTCGCTTGCTGTCGTAAAGTAGGTTGTGCTCATAAACCTGGTTGAGAGGGGATGGGAGTGAATGACTTCAGAGCTGACAGTCAGCTACCCAATTAACATTTAAAATAAATAAATGCCAATGGTTTGTTGGCTGTGTGACGCTAGGTATCAATCTATAGAGTCAACTTCTGAGTTTAAAACATATTGCACTATGACCAGCAATTCTCCACAATACAGTAGGATTTATTAATAGAAAATATGTCAATATGAGTTTGTCTTTGTACATGTTAGCAACATGTACAGTGAAACACATTTTTTTCTCAATCTATATTGTTATAGTTCTTTTGTGTTATCTGACATAACCATTTATATTTTGGGCTTAAATATGTTATTTGTCAAAATGTACTTTCAGTGTTAATATACCTTTAAAATCATAGTTTATCTTTTAAATATTGAATTAATATTTTTTTTTCAAATCAATATTGCTCATGTTAGTGCAAATTTGTTAATATTGAGATAGGTTAACCATTCCTTCCAGACCATAAACAGCATTTAATAAAACAGTGAGATTTATATAGCTCTACACAGCTGAACAAGATTCTAATATGAAGCTTGTTAAAAAAAATTCCGACATTTTACAGTACATCAATTGCATTTTATACATTTTTTTGGAACAGTTTTGTTTCTTCTCTATTCCTGTGTGTGACCTAGTACAAGAATGAAGGGAACAGCAATAGGTAATGATACTTTCCTCAATATTAAAAAGAATGCATCATATATATCTTGCTCAGTATGGCAGCAGTGTTGGATTTCCAAGCCTGGGAAAGAAGCCAGGTAATTCAACACCTTCTCAAAACCCAGTACAGCAAGAGTGAACGTTATCAGTCGGAGCACTTGCCACTACAGAAGAATGGAAACAAAACAACACAAAGTATAGACAAAAGGTATTTTATGCCACTTCATCGATCCAGAATCTCTCACTTGAGCAATGGTCAACACTTGATGACTCCAAGTAATTCCTAAGAGGAGCTGAAAGGGGGCAATGTGGGCATTTCAGTAGTTTGAAGAATGGAAATAAATCCAACTTACAATAACCTGCTGTCCTAAGAACATCAAACACAATGACGGATCCCTTCGGCCTGTTGGCAGTCCTGTGCCTGGAGAACTGCACCAGCCTGGTGGTTATCAGGCAGTCAAGAAGAACTTCAAGTTGCAAGTGACATTCTTTATTAAAAAAAAGTTTTTATACTGAAAATGTGCTTTGTTCAAAAGAGCACTGCAAATGTCACTTATCTTATTAAAATCAATGTAATAAATAAAATATAAACAACCTGTGTCCAAAACTATGAATAATATTTTTATCTACCTCACTATACATCTGGCCCACTGTGCCCCTCCCACCCACCAAAAATTTTAAAAATTTTTTTGCATGCGATTTTTTTCCCCATGTTTACTACAAAGAGCAGATAAGGTTACATATCGTACACTGGGAAAAGCTGCCAAAAAGATTAAACTATAGTCCTAGATTACTGAGAAACCAATTCTACGTCACAATGCCCGCCTGCATGAACTACTCGGGCTGCATCCTATAGAGCAGGCGATGACTTGCAAGAGACTTCTCCCCCTGCACACAGTCAGAGGTGTGCCGGGTGGTGTTAAGACTATTACAATGACTACTCACAGAAATGTTTGCAACCTAAAGCAAATTCCTTCATTGTAATTTAAGCAATTTACAACTACTCCATTTGTGGTGGGTCTTAACCTTGCGAAAACTGAAAGCTGCTGTTGCCTGAATCAAAGAAGTGAAGAAATGCTAGACTCTTTTTTTTTTTTTTACTTCTGGAGTCCCAAGAGCCAAGATGAACACGCCAGCTCTTCTGGCCTCCTAGCCTACCTTTCTTTTCTTTTTTTTTTTTTCTTTTTTTTTTTTTCAATGAAAAAAAAATTCTCTGTCCCTTACATTTTTTAGTTTTTAGGGTTTTACTTTAAATGCACAGAAATGGTCGGTAGCTTTCATATTTGAGGAATGTGTTCTGGGTGTTGGGTTTTCTTTTTGGTATGGGTTAAAATAAATGATTGTCCTAATGGTTCAGGAGTTGGACACTTCTGTAGCCTGAAGAGTTTGGAGACTCCAGACTTAAGTCTGTTGGGTCTTCGTCTTCCATTCCCTCAGGGAGATGGCAAGATCAAACTCTGCCTTCCTTGAGCACTTGCTAGCTGGTGGCTGGAGGATAATGAAATTTCCTCAAGAGAAGATCAAAAGATGCTATTTTAAAGGAAATGGCACCTAAGAGTGAAGGAGTGAGTGAAAAAAATTTGATAACACCTTCCGTTGTGAGTATGCGGCCTAACAATTTTGAATTGCTGTCAATGGTTAAGACAGTGAGTAAGAGAAAGCACATACTGGAGTTTCCACTGTTAAAAAGAACTGAAAATCAAACAAAAATTGAAGCTTGAACAAGGAAAACATTGGATGAAAAGAAGTCTTACGCCACACAAATGCACACACTCAAACACACACACGCACACAGAATACTATGCATACATGGACACACACAAGTAAGAATGTGTATTTGTATGGTAGGTTCTTGGAAATAGACATTCTTAGCAAATATGGATGACAGATCAATTGTAATTTATTTTCTTTTAACACTGTATCATCATAAAGAAAACTGGTATAAATGAAAAAAATCTATTTCAAATATCTACATCTAAAATTTTAGGCAGTGAAAAAGCACTTCGTTGACAAGGAGTGTGGAATGATGAATGTTAATTGTCAGAAACTGCTGAATGCCTTTTTTTTTTTTAGTTGCCACAAACAAATTCACATATCAGAACAAACAATACTGCTAAATATTCCTTTTTGGTTTTTTTTTTTTTGAATTTTTTTTGAATTTTTTTTTTTGTTAAAACGCACCGGGGAAAAGAAAACAAAAAACTGGAAATTCATACATCTTCCAAAATTTGAAATTGAAGCAATATTTAGAACCATAGATGAAGAAACACTGTGGCATTGGTGTAATATACACAATGCACTTGGTTTTTTTTTTATCTGTAATGTACATCAAATACTTTACAACAATGCATTAACAAAAGGCAAGAAACATCTTGCTGTACAGAGGAAACCCCAAATGCAACTTGAAGCCTAGATTCACAATGAATGAGGATATTAAACAAAGTGTGAGAAGCTGTTCCCCATAAAGTATGTACGCTGCTCAGTTACTTGTGCTTAACTCTTGACCCACATCCACTGTCATGTTCTCCCTCCTTCCTTCAGCCACATTCAATATACAACACCGAACTTTAGACTCTACAGGCCAACGGTAAAGTTGCCCCACACTGTAAAATATATATATGTATATATATATTTCTTTCTAATTACTCCCAGGTTTAGCTTTCGTATCTTTTAGCCTTCTAAAAAAATCTCTTTAGTTTTTTCCATACTGGTTATCTGGGCCTTCCTATGGAACAGGCTTTAACAAACTAAATTTGCAGGAAAAAAAATGTCTTGTGGTATGCATGCACATGCACAGTTCCTGGAGCTTTTGTATCTGCCCAAGTCTCAAACCCAGGAGTCGGGAGAGGCTGGATAGTGGCTTGTTTCATAGTTAAGTTCACTATAGGGACGAGCAGCTGAATAGAAGTCGACGTAGTTGCCAGTTGACTTTAGTCCCAGGTGCATGTTGTATTCGCTTGCAGGTGGACGATGATGCACTTGGTCCTCAAAGAAGGACTCATCATAGTTTCTTGTTGAATTCTGAAACGGCTGATATGGTTCATAATCTTTTCTGCTGGGCTCCTGTGGAACTGGCTGTGTTGAAACCTGAAAGATAGTAATACCCACAGCCTGTCAGATGCAACTTACTGTGGGCAACAGGATGCAGGATGGAAGAAGTAAATCTCACTTATTTCTATCATGTTGAAATACAAAGCTGTGCATTGACATCTGCTCAAGGTATTGCTTGGTAGTGAATTAATTCCACAGCCCTGCCTTGTCATTATATTTCTTTACATTTATTTATTTGTTATTAAAGATATTTATTATTTAATATTATTGCTGCTAAAGATGCTGGTTTACTTCAAAAGTAGTTCAAGCAGGGTAGTTTACACTTATTTTCCTAGCTATAATCTGTGTATAACTTTCTGACTATTTTGCAGCTATATAATGCAAACATTGGGGGCCAAATCTCAGCCTTGAAGAACTGGAATGGAAGCGATATACACTCCAAAGACACTAAACATTCTGCAGCTGCCTTTGCCACATGTGAGATTTAGGGTGACACCATAGCCTTAAGAACCATTTCTAGTCTTCAGGGCACTGACATGAGAAAATGCAAACTAAGTGCCCTGAAATGTGTTCTTCTGCTACTGTTAAGCAGAACCATCTTCTTACCACCTTCTCAACACTCATGTTGTCAATCTTGTGTTGTTGCTACATTCCAGTAAGCTGCCTTGAAGATGAAATATTAGATAGGCAGAAAAAAAAATCTGAGGCAGTCCTCTAGCCTAAGTTTGCCATAAAGTTTTTTTCAGATAGCCCTAGCGAGTCTCTGTTTTTATAGTTGGGACTTAAAAGCTGAAATTTATAAGCACATGCTAAGTATCTTAGTGGAACACTACCTTTTACTCTATGCCGCCTCTGTAGGTCTGGACAGACTTTGTGACTACAAAATGCTATAGTTTTCCGATCCTCAAGTGGTCATCCCTGGGAATATTAATGCTCAGACACGGGTGTCAGAAGACTTTGCAGATCCTGCTGAGTCTGCAAGAGTTAGTAATGCTCCTTCAAGAGAGGAACAGTTGCACTGCTATGTCCCAAACTCTGTGATACTCCTTCAGAGCATGTCTGTATTGGACTGTAGGCGTAGAGTGCAAAAGGCTGCCTGCGTCCACTGCCTTTAACAATCTAGCACTGCACAAGGGAGCACAACTACTCTAGCTTCTGTTTCTAGTACTGCTATCAAGGTGTGCAGGACCTTCAGCCCCTCATTTCATTTCACATATTCAAACACAGGTGTTCGATTTTGGACACAGGAGAAAAATTCTATAGAAAGCAATCTACTTATATGCCGAACAGAGATGGTCAATTTTTGATTAGAAAATAGGGGACTGAAGTAGTATTTCTGGGTTCTTTCTAACTAAAAACATTTTTTCTGATTTGTCAATCATAAACCTGGTATTTCTTTGAGAAATCAAGTGGGAAAAGGTGGATTTTTTTTTTTTTTGGCTTAAACTCTCACCCCCAAAATCAAATTAGTTGACTCTTGAGTGCAGCTAGAGTGCACCTGCTACAGCACCTCACACCTTAGTTACAGCACCTCATACCTTTATTTTCTCTAAATACTGTATTAATTATAAGGGCTTCATCTCTTTAAATGCAATAAAAGCAGAAATATCTTCATGCACTGAACTGGCTCACACAAAGAATTAATATAGTGCACCACAGGGAATGCTGTCTATTTAAAAAACTATAAAGAGAAATGGGGGCACAGAATATCAGAAACTCTCTTCACCTTAAGTTGGTGGATTAAAATTGAAGTATTAGTTCCTTAAATTGAAATTTCATGTAATCTAGTAAAAATTTTCAGAGAAAAATATTTTCTATCTATTTTACTGAATATTCATTTACCTTTCTTGATACTAGTAATAATTTTTAGTGCTTTCCTTAAATTTTTTTGGCCTCATTTTTCTAGCTGAAAAATACTGTAACTTTTGCATATTACATAGGAAAGTTGTGAAAATATTAAGAAGATGTGGTAATTAAGGATAAAGCAGCATTACACATAATGATGAAACAAAAGTCTATGGCTGCAGAAAAATGTCTGTTTCTTAGGAACTGAGGAAATCCTGTACTGGAAATATCTGCCATATGAATGCCATACATGGCAATCCTGCTACAGCCCTTTCTTCCATGAGTGCATTAGCTTGGCACCCATGCTGCCAATTACACTTTTTAATGCCCACCTCATCCTGATGCACTTATTACTTTCCGGTTTTCAGGAACAGGACATTTTAAAAGAGTCCCACAGCTCCAGAAGGAATGGCTTGGATGTATATATATGGGAAAGTGTCCCTGCTGATGAAATGCCAGTTTTTGTCTTGCCCATGCCCTGATGCATACATTAAAGAACAAACAAACAGCCTTGTTGCAGCCATGCTAAATGGCAAACCCAAGGGCTTTAGCTACATGTAAGTAGACTGCGCATGCCCCTGCAAGAGGAAACAGGGGGTTCTTTCTCCAGGCCTGTTCAATGCCCGAGTATTTGCTAGGATGCCGTGGCATGTGAGCCATGGGGCGTCAGCAGTAGTGTTGAATTTTATGATGGCTGTACTCAAGTAACAAGATGTTGCCAGACCAAATTCACTGACATGGGACATCACGAGATACTAGAGCCAACAGAAGTGCCCACTAATGTCAGCTTGGCTTTTGCAGCCTGCGTCGCACATATCCAGGACTTTAAAGGCATTCAGATCCCAAGCCCCTCTTGATTTCATTATGACTTACAGGATTAAACACCTTAGATAATTTTTGCATATATGCCGTCATAAGATGTTGGATATTTTTTAAACTTGGGCTGAAATTATCCATTAGCATAAAGAACATAACTTGCTTGAAGTCAGTGGAATTGCTAGCATTTGCACAAGCAGGTGACTCAGCTCCTCTAATCTAGTTTTATCAATCTTTGTGATATTTTTCTTCATTTCCATATAAGATGTTACACTGGTCTTTTGCCATTTAGAACAGTAACATCTTAGTCTCTGTACTTACCTGGTTATGTTTGATATCTTCAGCAGGTGCACCATATGAATTCCTGTACAAAGTTGAGATTCCAGTGTTCTGAGCTGGAGAGAGAAAAAACGAAGGAAAAAGCAGGTTTACCAAACATATCTCTTTGTCTTCAAAGTGAATTCTTAAGGCTTCATTAAATATATTATATAATGCCTTGTTTCCCACTCATGAATATCTTTAAAAGCATCTGCAGCCTTCTATTTTCTTTTCCTTGCACTAAACAGTCAGAATCTCTGCTTTGGTGTACATGCATGTACATGGTATATACTTACTAATGGTAACAGGCACTATGCCATGTTCATATCAATTTTCTGCACTTCACATATAACTCAAGAAAATAACTGCATATACAGCTACATTCATTAATATATTTCAGGTTATGTATGGGATTTTATATCACATGTACACTAAACATCTAACAGTTGTAAATATTGAGATTAAGAAACATTTCAGTCCTTTCACTCCAGTTGGATAACATGGATTATTTACCCTACAGTGCTTTTGCTATATCGTGAAATCATTCATGGAAAAAGTGATTAAATGCAACTGAAAAATGAGTTATGCAAAAAAGGTATATATAGTTATACTGAAGAGGTCTGGCCAAGATAGTCTCAAATCCATTAACCGTTGTCACTTTCTTCTCAGATGTCCTACTACTAAAACGCACGGACAGAACTGAGCTATGAGTTTGAAATCAGAAGTAATTCCAAAGACAGGGATAACATCATACAGTTTTGCAAAAATTTATTTCCCACTTTGCCCCCCAAAAAACACATAAAGTGCTAGGGATTTTCCCTGCAAAGCTGACTTCACTGATCATTCCATCAGTGGAACTGAAACATGTTGCTGATGTGACTTCTCTCAAGTCTCTGTTAAATGGTATAGAACCTGAGGCACCCAGAGTTGCTTTTAATACCTTCACAACTCAAAACCTTTGAGCGCGAGGACTGAGCATCAGAGTTGAAAGCTGTGTATGGGATCCATGCTAGTCACATCACTAAGAAGAACCAGTTACTGAAGAAGTAACCATTCTTTCTTCCTTTGGCAACCTGCTAGCATGGACCCCAGCACGTATAACTGTCTCTGTCTTTCCTCCCGCCACTGCATCCTCTCTGGAGAAAGGAATGGCATGGTCTTCAGTCAAAGCTGACTGTAATTTGCCAGTTCGGATCTTCACATCTGCCCCGGGTTCCATGCTGAGGGTATAATTTTTGTCAGAGTTTGGTGCACTGCTCCATGTTGCTGCTTCACAGATGTCAGACGGTGTTCTTAAAGACCTCCAGTATGTTCTCGAAACAAGATAAAGACAGAGCTTATATGGTGGGGTGATGAGCCCTAACAGTTGAAAATAGAGATTTTTTTCACTTCATAACCAGTAACTAATAGGGGTGAAAAAACTTGTTTCTTGAAGAGTTAGATACAGTTATGGAACTAGTGCATAGTCCTGTGTAGGAAATGGAGAAGAGCTCTGGAGGTCACCAAGGAGTGCAGCAGGATGAAGGCGGGAAGAATATGAACTCTAATAACAGATGCCGGTTGGTCTTTTCCGGTGGTAGGTACTCTTAATTCCACCTGTGTGCTAATAGGTGGTAACAGATAGAAATGACGACTGCTTGAGTAGTTTGTCTTTGGTCACAGATGTTAGTGCTGAAGGATCGATCTGCAGAGGTTCTCTGTTCTGGCTGCATTTTATCATCTAACTTGAGTGATGTGTGAGACTTAACTGTCACTTCAGTGGTTTTTATATTCCAGCTGCATCCTCTGCTTTAGTGCTTGAAAATCTCCCTCCTGATGACAGTCTTTGGTATTAAAGGAGTCCGCACCAGCACTGCTATTTATGGTGCATCTCATGACAGCATGACTCTCAGTAGTACAGCTGCCAGATTCTTCCTTGAAACTGTCTTTTTTTATGCTGTTTTTCTAGAGGTTTTTTGCTTGCCCCACAAAGCACTAGAAGAAGTTGGGTTAAACAAATTCCTCTTCTCAAGATCTAAAGATACTCAGTGTTTCAGGAAGCCATTTGTGAAAATGAAAGTTACATTCAGTGTGTTGGACTCTCATAAACAGAGGAAGAACTTGTAACCATTTTGTTTTCATGTACATAAATGGCAAGATAAGCGGGGTTGAAGTTTCACGCATGCAAGTTTTTAGTCAGGCATGACTGAACATATTCATTCCAGACAGGACAACACTGTTCATGGTTGTTTGATGTCAAGAATGAAAGACTGGTATAAGGTGCAACATCTGAAGGTTTTATGAAGAATCTGATGAAAAATAGCAAACTGGACACATGCTAATTTGTATGTTGTTCCTGCAGGAAATCAGAGAGACTTTAAGGAGGGTCATGACCTTTCCATCTTTTTACAGCTATGTAAGAAGGCATATGGTGCATATGTGCCACTAACAGCCATCACTGTTATAAAACCAGAAATAGTCCAGAGTTGGTGCGTAGCTGTCTGATGCACTACTGTGACATTTGCACTGATGTGCTCAGAATTGTCACATGCCAGATTGAAGACTTACAGTCTCCCAGATCACATATTCTACAATGGAAAATGGATAGTATCAGCTTGTGGAAATAGCTGCAAGGTCTGCGTTGCTGATTTCACTGCAGTGACGTGGATACCAATTCACAAGTTTAAAACGTGAAAAAAGTGTATTCTTCTTTTCTTAATGTAATAAAAATAATGACACATCAAATGCTTGGAAATGAATGCCAAGAATTCAAGAACAAGAAAACTTGGCTTAGTCTAGCTGGGAGGCCGAGATAATTCTGTCTCTGGAGGAAATGTAAGTCAAGCAATGTAGCTGCTAGCAACGCATGCAGCCCCGCTCCAGTACCTGCTTCTGAACACGCAGGCGGCATCCCTGGGAACTCCATTCCCGCTCTGCCATGCTTCAGTGAGCAGTTGACTCTTGCTGTCCAAAAGCAGAGGGCAAATACAAAAGAAAGAAGGGAGAGCATGAGCTAGATGAATGGACAGATATTGTGTGGTTAGTATCTGCTTTTTGCTGTTAATATTGCCTACGTGCCATCACAGTAAAATTATCCAAAAAAAGAGAGGTTAATGAAATAATTTCTTTTTTAAAACATGGTAGGGGAAGGGAAAGGGGTTCAAGGAGTAAGAGATGGGAGATTTTCCAGCAGCCACACTTCCTTACAGAGATGTGAGAACTGTAGCTGCAGATGAAATGATTTGAGGAGTGATGAGTGTGCGTGCATGTGTGTGTGTGTATTTTATGCAGCATCTATACTGAAGAGGTACTTTCTACTAGACAAAATTGGGAAGCTTCTAAAACAAGTACTATGATCAACTTGCAGTACTCTGTGGTTGCATTGCATAAAGAACATTATAGAAAGAAATACCTTCTTTTTTTTCCCCCTGTCCAGTTTTCAAGGTGATATTGGTTAAAAAACCCCAATGATACAGCTCTCCACCGCAGTCTTCTGCAAAGCTGACAACAGCTTTGAAAACTATGTCACTCAGTGGCTTAGGTGACAAAGAGATCCCTGACTGAAGCCATCCCCATATATCTCAGTCACTTGACTAATTGTTTTAACACTCATCTTTCTGTTCTTACAAGTACTTATTCTGAACACTTTACAAATACTCTGAAATAACAAGGCATTAGCCTTTTGCCTTCAGAAACACAGACTGACAGTAAGAAAGGAAAGCTCAGCTGGACAGGTAGTCATCCTCATCTGCTATTGCATAACCTTTTTTTTTCTACTATAAGCAGCAGGACTCCATTTCCTAAAATTTAGTTCATAACAGTAAAGGAAAATGCTTCTGTGCCTCATGAATCTCAGCTAACAGAGATCATTGCTTGTCACTACTATTGCCACATTCCTGCACAGTGAACGATGGAGTAAGGGCATGAGACAAGATTACAGTGTATTACAGTTTCTTAAAGTAATAATAAGTTCAAGTAGCCCGAGCATCTGTAGCTACTATAACAGATGATGGTGGTTGGTTGTGTTCTGAATGTGCAGAGGCTTGCAAGTAACTTTAAACAACAAAAGTACAGATGATTGATTCTTGACAACCAAAAGAAAATAAATTAATCAGAAGGTATTTCTGCCGGTGGAAGTGAAGATACAGGGTGCAGACTGTGATGCACATATTAGTTCAGTGAGGGAACTAACAAAGTAGAAGAAACTTCAGAGTAGGAGTCCCATGATTGTATACAGTAACCTTATCTTCCCTGTTCTGAAGGAAAACACCATAGCATAAATAACGTTATCACATGCACTTACAGCTCCTCGTTTTTTTAAAAGGAATGTAATAGATTTTGTCTTAAAAATATACTTTAGGTGATAAAATTTTATTATTGGTTATTATTTTCTACAGAGAAGAGAAGATGGATAGTAAATAAACAAGGCACCGTAAACCTGTGAAGGGAAGAGGGCAATGAGAACTTCGATATTGTTCCTCTATTTTTTAGCTGTCCTTGTGAAATAAATGTAAGTTATCATCTTCAGCCAAACTGTTTACTTCATAGATTCTCCCATTTTTCCCAGAGGTTTCCTGACAACTAACCACAATGGCAAGAAGCCAACACTTCTACTTCGAAAATCCATCAAAAAAACTTCATTTCAGTCCCAGCCAAGAGGTTATAAAATTTTTGAACTATGAACTGAAAAAGGCTTTGGAGAAGAGCACGGAGACAGTCATGGATAAATGGAGACTACAGCTGTGGCTCTACATTCTGTGTAAATCTGTAAATCAAAGAAAGCTTTGTGTAATACATCAGCTTGGCACAAAATACAAGAGCAGCTCAAAATATGTATATACCAGGTGGAACCTGAAAAAAACATTTACCTAAGTCCCATAGGCTCTGTGGATGTATTAGCTGCAATGCATTGCCTGATGCACAAAATGAAACACTGGCACTGCAATGAACTTGCTTCATGAACTTATGCTAGACCATCCAAGTTAAGACAAAATGTCTCACAATTAAAATCACAAATACTGAGTTAATATTGTTCTTTAATGAATTATTTATTATTTAATGAGCTACACATATGTTACACAAATTTCATGTTGAATGTTGACAAGCCAGACTCCTTCTGTCATTTTCTTTTGTTCTTAAAATGGTGCTTCATTTGAGCTTAGACCAAATAAGCAGAGATTTGGTGATCTGAAAGAGAGAGAAAGTGATTTGTTAATTCCATATTCATTTGTACAACGGTCATGTAAGACTGTGAATTATTATTACACTTTTCATTTTGATTTTGGCTTTGATTTTTCTCACTGAGCTCAGTAGCTGCAAAAATAGTCGATAGCTGAGCATGATGCTGAAAGTTTAATTTTCCTTACTAAAAGCCCACCCAAATGATCAGTAAGAACAAAAATACAAAGACAAAATACAAGCAGATATTAAAGGAAAACACAATGCAAAAAAGCAAAGTGGAGCAAAGGTTGCTGGGGAAGTACAATCCTCACACTCTGAAAATTATTTTGAAACAGTGAAGAAACAAAGTAAACAGGAATGGGAGAAGAAAAGCACTACAGTAAAAGACAAAATGAAAAGGGCTGGGGAAAAAGAAAACATTTTTTTAACATATGGAGAGAGACAAGACTAGCTGCAAGGAAATATAGATTTTCACAAGCAAACACTTTTTTTTTCGTGAACTTTCTGATATAATCAGGTAGTCTAAATTTGCAGATATACCTAGAACAAAATACTAATGTTTCTGCCTTTTCGGCCTGCCGCTCTTACTCCTGAGATTGCCTCTTCATGGATCCTTGACAAAGTGCCGAAAAAACCACAGTCCCATCCTTCACAATCACACAAGTAAGGACCACTGAAGTGTTTTAGAGAACTACCTTGGGCAGGGACTATGAAACACTCAAAATATCACAGACACATAAAATGCAGTACCTTGACTGAATCTCCTGCGATCTCACGTAGTACCCTGCAGATGTCGTTCAGAGCATTCTTCATTTCTGTAGTTTCCAAACGCTCTTGACTGTCATTCCTCCTCTTCAGATTTTCACTTTCATGCTAATTAATGTTCCGTATTGTATTTTCACACAAATTCAAAGGCTGGCCTTTAGAATTTGATTACACAATAGTATAACAGTAGATGCAGTATGAGTAGCATCATATCCTGAATAGGGTCTTGAAAGCTACTATGGATGGCTTGATGCTGAGTCAGCATCCTCCTGGTGTCCCCAGTGAGCTGAAGAACACAAAGACAACCCATTCTGGCATCCTCTGAGCAAGACCTCTACAGAGGACATGGGAGAAGGTAACAGGCATTCAGAAGGTGCAGAGTGACTCCTCACTGTGATTTTTTGCTGGCTCTAAGGTTAGCATTTGGAGAAGAGGACACCATGATGCTTGGTACTACATAAATGTAACAAAATGTTCAAGATAGGTTATATAAGCCTGTGCAGCAGCGATGGAGACCAACATGTCTTTTGCAAGAGAATTAACAAAGAGGTTCAGAACTGGGCAAAGTACTCACAATTTTATAATTACTGAAATACTAACAGGTTAATGAGCTTGCCAGGGGAGAGGGACCTTCAGTGAAATCTGCAATAGATGCCATAACATACACAAGGAAAACTGTTGCATTTAAATCAGGCCAGCTGACAAAGTGACACAGATTGACTTCACAAACAGCTACCAAATTTCCTAGGAATGACTGGTGTGCAAAATTAGCTAACCAGTCCTAGAAAGCCATTCCCTGCAAAAGACAGATGTTAGGGATCTTTGGACATGCTCAACCATGGTCATGCTTGCAGAAACAACGCTAGTTAATTCAAAGTGATCTATCAAGTTCCTTCTGAAATGAAAACAAATGTAAAATTAAAAAGAAATGTAAAATTGGTTTTAAAGCCTTTCTTCTGTGAAGAAACATTGTTGTCACGAATCACTTTCACATAGCATAGTATTCATTAAGATCAAATGTTTCTTCAGTTATATTTCTCAAGGTGGCTAAAACTTTGGAATCAATCAAAGCAGGCTGACTCTTTTCTATCATACAGTAAACCGATCCAAGCCTACAAAATCAGTGGTCTCTCACAGCTGAATTTTATAGATGCTATGCAAGCATAATCTCACCTGTCATGGTGTCTTTCCTAGAAGTGTGTTCTCCCTTATTTCCATGGTAAGTGGCGTTTGTTCCAGTTGATTCATAGTCTGTTTTTCTTTCTTTTAGGCTGATCATTTCCCGAGGTGAGGCTGGGGCACTTGCTAGATCACAAAAACGGATTTATTTTTTTCTTGACACATATGACTGAATGCAGTGTTTAGAGTAAACATTTTAGTAAAGTTTACATTTGTAAGCTACTAACACTAATCTGTTTGAAGAAACACTACCACACTATGGAGGAAAAGAAAAGGTGCTGTTATTTCAAGCACAGAACAAATGTATTCATGGGACAATCAACTCCAAACATAATTTTCCTTCTGAATGTTTTACTTTTTTCACTTACAGCCAATGTCTAAGTGGATCTTTACGAAAAAAAAGTACAAGAATACATTCTTTTTCCCCTTTAGCTTTTCAATTTCTTTAACTTGTCAAAGCTTTCTGGTATAGGCACTTCCATGCTGTTTCTCGAAATGGTTTATTTATTTCTTTTGAAAAGACCGTTAACTTTCAACTGTGTGGAAAACCCCCTTCTAAAATGGTTTCTTCCCTGCTCTGTTGAAAACAAACAAACAAATTAAATGATTCTAACGGAGATGGGAAGAAAAGAAAGATGTTTTCCATAGAAAACATATAGCATGGAATGCCTAATACTTAAAGGTGACTCAAATAATTTCTCTGTCTTTAAGTACTATGTATGAACAACTGCCATTAAAACAACAACTGCTACTTTAAGGTGTTATTAACACTAAATCCTTCATCACCTATACTCATGGCATGGCTACAAGGAGGGAAGTATGAGGTGACTAGGAAGAGAATTTGGTTTGTGTTTGATTCTCACACACTGGTGAATGTGAAGGTGATCACTGGCACTGATCATGAAGACTTAGAGCTTGTGATGCTTAGGAAAAGAAGAAAAGCAGAGGAAAAAATAATGACTTTCAAGTAAACCGACTTCAATATATTTAGGTGTGGTAGATACAACGCACTTTCCCTGTTGTGGAGGGTAGGGGAGGGAGTACAAGGTTGAGTGGCAGAACACCCCAGAGCCTTGTGAAGGCACAGTGGTACAAAAGTAACTACAGTGTGGTGCTTACTTCCACACCCTTCCCTGCCTCCACCCAGATATTTGATACGTCAAAAGAACCTTAGAAGCAGTAATAGTGTTCTTGCTTCAAAAGAAAGAAGACAAGCTCATTCATGAGTTATACCTTTCAGCATCTCTAAACTATGTTACATTTTTTAGTTAAGGAGTAGGAAACCACTTGTACTTACTAAGGAGCAGGGAAGCACAAGTGATGTTGAATTCTGCTTAGATCGGTTCTGATGGCCCTGGACTCTGAATTTACAGAGCAGTGTGGGACAGATGGTTTTTCTTATGAAGCCATGAGAATTGGGGATTGCTTTTACATTGCTTGTCAATAGTGATGTAATTCTAAAGCTGATAATCCAGCAGATACAAAGAAACACGACATTAAATTACCAAATCAGCTAATGGCAACTTGAGTCTAACAGGGAACAAACCAGAATGCAAACCTTGAAAAAGTTGCTAAGACAGGGATGCATTTTGTTTCACATACTCTGGTAATGCTTTTAAGCACTCTGGTGTTTTGAACGAAATTGACTGATAAAGACAAAACCACCTCTCTCTGTTCCCTGTGAGAATTAGCTCTCTCCTCCCATGTGAGAACTGCTTTCTGGCAAACGTTAAAATCCAGAATGTCCTCTTTCAGTCTTTTACTGGAAGCAGACGTAACATCATTGGTTGACACTAGACTGAAAAGTGGTATCAAGGTTTTCTGCTCTTATTCTTAAATGACACAGAGGAGACAGAGCTCTCTATGCTAGTTTAAGCATCTTATCACCAAGTCCTAGGGATAGATGGGACATTGTGTGTTCATTTACTTCTACTCTTCACCCCAAGGTAGGATATGCTATACCAAAATAATTCTTGACACATTTTCATCTAAAACTAAAGATATCTAATGACAGAGATCACATAACTGCTCCAAGCAGTCTGTTCCAGTGCTTTGTGTCCCTATTGTTAGGAAATATTCCCTGATGTCTAGCCAGACTCCTTGCTGCTCATTATTTCCATTTGTCTGCTATGAAAGCAGAGAAACTTCATGCTGTTTCTCTTAACAGCTGGCTGTTATGTGCTTGAATGCTTGGTGCGTAGCTCTTCCCACTGCCCCATCTTGCGTCTCTCTAAATTGAGTTAGTCCATTCAGTGTGTCCTCATATCCTGATCGTGATTTCTCCATCTCCCAATTCATGTGTGGAACTGACAAAAATTCTGAAATAATTCCTAAAGCGCTTTTGTCTAGCCAGATGTTCTCCTTATAATTTATTTGTAAAGGATTGGATCTTTTTTTCCCTTTGGACAGTATCTTCAATTTCTCAGGATCACTCTGAATTCCAATAATGCCCTTCAAGATACACGAGTTTCTCCCAGGTTTATGTCACCCGCAAAGGTAATAGACATCCTTTGTTTATTATCTATATTAATGAAACCACTGAAGAGTATCGGGCCCAAGGCAAACCTTCAAGCAAAGCATTCCTCCATTTTGGCAATAAGCAATACCCATTCTTTGTGAATGGTTTTCAGTCAAGTTTTGTATTTACCACACAGGACATTTTCTGGACTGTTTGCTACCTTGCCCTAGCTTGCCTTCACCTGTGTGAAAGAGTCTTACCGATTACAGTAGATTTCATTTACTAACGATTCCTTCCATAAAGTGCTTGAACTATGTTATAGCAGAAACTGAGGTGGATTTTGTAAGAACAAATCATATTGAACCAATGTTTGGATTTGATAAAGATACTACCAGACAGACAGAAGCTTATACTACTATGTAGAAACAGATACTCCTAGAGTTAAGCAGTATTTTATGTTCCTACTATTTTTGAGGTGCTCAGATTATGATTATTTGTTCCAGCAATTTTCTAGAATGAAGTTGAGCTGACTGGTCTGTAATTAGATGGGCTTCTCTTCCTTCAGAAACAGCCACTACATTTGTCCTTTGCCAGCCTTATCATAACTGATGATGGCAGTAAGATTTCATCCAAAATTTCTTTAAGTATGTTCTTTCAGCAACAGATTAACAGAAGTGACGAGACAGTTCTGGCAAGAGACAGAACTAAGATCTCAGGGCCAGACACTTCAAGTGCCTTGTGCTTACAGGCAAAATGAGATTTTGGAGAAGAAAAAAAGGAACAAGAGCCCTTTATGGACTTGTGTAATGACAGATTTTGAAAACGGAATAGCAGCTCTCATGGTACTTCTGGCTACATTTTCAAATTTTCTCAGTGGTTCCTTAGCAGGACTAAGATGCAGCTTCTACAAAATTAAAAAAAAAAATTTCCTAAAAACAAAACTATGGTGCAATAATCCGTTTGGCCAATTTTAATACTAAACTCTTGGTATACCTATGGAATGACAGCATTTGATTGAACAAGTAGTAAAAAGTAATTGAAAGGCTGACTGTTTTACTCTGTTTATCTTAGAAGATTTTCACTGGGCATGGTTTTATCTAACTAAAGGTATGTTCTACCTTAGAATACGCAGAGTGGAAAATGTCCGGATTTCTGAATAGAAAAATTAATTAACGCAGCGGCATAAGTTGAGATACTTACATAAATTCATTGTATGGATCATACAGAATTAATGATAGGTGACATAAATATGCCATCAACGTTACATAAATACCTGTAGTCAATCTTTTGTGAAACTTGCATATGCATGTGTATGCACACTTATATACACATACACATAGAACAAAAGCTGACAAAAAATAATGTGAATCCTTCAACTCCTGCTAAGCGTACAGGGTGGTCATAAACAACATAGCGATTTTCATGACTAGCAAAGTGAGTAACGGAATTTCCTGATGCTACTAATGGACACCACTGCCCTGAGATCTAGTCAGGTAACCCCAACTGGAAAATACTGCATGAGAATTCATAACAAAAAGTTATGGAAAATTCTTTCTGCTGTAAAACCTTCTAAGATGTTAATAAAAAAACCCAAACCCTGTTTTGAACAGATAATTCAGGTAAGAGCAAAGAATATATTTCATGCCCTTCCACCATTGTTAACAACAAATCCAGATGCCGGTGATGTTGCTTGAAGAAGGAAAATGACAGGGATGGATTACCTGTCTTTGCTTCAGTCCTGAAAGCCTGGTCTTACCTGAGCGGTTGTTAGGAGACATGCGCACGGGAGAGATGGAGGGCGTGCGTGATGAGGAGTACGGTCTTTGCCGATCCCTTTCTATTGTTGAAGATGAGGCTACAAAGTGATACTGTGACCATCCGTCCTGCAACGTCAAACATTGCAACAGCAGTCAGTGAAAATGCCATACAGTTCTCCTTTTTAAGGACACAGTATTTTCCTCCAGTGTTTTCACTACGTATACACAAGTAGCCTACTACCTTGTTCTTGCCACTGCGTGGCAAATACTCTTAGCGGTGCAGGATACGATGTGCTGACTGTACTGACACACCACTAGAAAAATTAAAATGCAGAAAGTTTTATAAAACAACACATTTCAGAAAGACTAAAACTATGAAAACACTGAACAACTTTTCAGGCTATTTGTTTAATAGTTCCGCATTTTTCCATGCCTCTATTTCCACATTGCAAATGGCATTCTGGCTATGAAAATATTCCAAGTCATAACATTGCTTTTTTTCACGGTGAAAATCAGTTTTTGCTTTAAATCACTTCTATCTTATAAGGAAATTCTGGAGAAAGTAGATGGGGAAGCTCCAGGATTATAAAAAATTATTGCAACTATTTGGGTATCTATAGTCTTGTTATATTAACTGCCTATTTGTTCACACGTGAGAGAAAAAGAAGCAATGCATTTTCTTCATTGCATTTTTCTCCAAGATGTACAGAAAGAAATTCTATTCCTTCTATTTAAAGCTGTGGTAATGGTGATGTATTTAAAAAAAAGAAAAAGAAACAAAGTACTACAAACACTAGAAACAGCTAGTTCAGAAATAAAAAAGGGAAAGTTTAAATAATTAATGTTTTGTTCCTGTACCATAATATAATGGAATAATCCAAAATAATGTACTTTACATTTTTAAAAGGCTATTAAAATAGTTTGAAAGTATCATGAGATAATAAATTGACTTTTGCTGGTACTCTTATTAAATGATAGTATTTCAAATATCTTAAAGTATTGCCAGATTTTAACTGTCTTTATCACTGCTTAATGTTAAATCTTAAATCAGTACCCCAGAGTTTTCCCACTTTCACACTGAAGACATAAGCCTTTTAAAAATGCCTACTTTCTGTTGTGCTCAGTGGAAATTGAGTCAAGCACCTGGCAGGGCAATAAACAAAATTTTTGCAACAAAACGTTGAGTAAAAATAAACACAATAAAATATTACCAAAACCCAGTTGGAATTTTCCTCTTGCTTACAGAAAAAATAATTCTCCATTGGCATAGTAAAGAATACTCCCACCCCTTCCTCAGGCTACTCCAGAGATCCAACCTGAATCCCACCCCCTCCTGTCCTCTGCCTTTGCCCAAGGCATCTCTCCGAGTTTATTCCTTCCACAGAAACCATGGGCACCTGGCTCTCAGAACTGCAAGAGAAAATGGCTTGAAAATCCCCCTTCCACTAAACTTTCAGGAAAGAGAACTCAGCAAGTGTGTGACACAGCAGGAGCAAAGAAGATACACCTGACGTAGAAGGAAATGTTATAAGTAAATTAGGATAGACAGAGGTGATACCTAACTACAGACTCTGAATGGCTGTACTCCTTACATAACACGTTTGTATAAACATGTGCGTATCTCAGCTATAATTTCAAAGGAAAAAAAAAAAGAAGAGTGAAGTCTGGGCCATGGATTTCACAGTAGAGACATTACCTTCCCTAGAGTCAATAGTGAGCGTTTGTCCACAAAGGTTACTCATGTTTAGGACGCTTCACAGAACTGTATCTCATATTTCATGACAAGTCATATGAGAAAATATAAGGAGGAAAACCAGTTAATTAATAAAAAATAGTAAGAGTAACTTGAAAAAAGAAATAGTTAATCTTTCATACCACTTGCTTAAACCAAAATTTTCTATATCCAATCTTTCATTTCCAACAAAAAGCTTCTACACAAGCTGCATCCTCCAACCTAGACGGAGGATCAATGAGAATGCAAACAAAACCATCTGTAAAGCCCTAACTTCTTATTGTTAAATCAAACTGGAAATTATTAGAAACTTTCAAGTTTCCAAGCCCGATCAGCTGTATAAAACAAGCCAGGCAAACAATAAACTCTAACACAAGCATTGTGGTGACTTGGCATCACTTTTGACTAAACAAGGCATATTGCTGTCACTGTATGACAACCTTCACGGTGTTTTCCAACAGCAGTATGGGCAGCTCCCCGACCTCACAGTATTTCAAAACTCTAATACTTTTAAGTCATCTATCTTTAGCTCTCTTCTGCCACAAGGAACAAGCTTCTTTCCTTGGAAAGGTAAACAGTTTATAATAAATTCATTAAAACTATCCCCATCAACAATTCCAAAAGCTATTAGCGTTAAATATTGAAACTAATTTTTAAGAGCCTAAAGGGAGTATTTTCAATTTAATGCCGAGATAAATACCACCTGACGTGATGGCTGCTTTCATTAGTTTGTTTCAGCTCTAGTGCCTGTAATGAAATTTAATTAAATTGATTTGGGTACTTAAAGGTACAGTATATAGCACTGTCCTGCACAGAAAAAAGCTAACTCAAAAGCAAAGTATGTGAGACTGCATTTCAGAAACCAATTTACCAGCCACAAACATGATCTAGGAAAGGAAGAGTAAGACAAAAAGATCTGACAAATTGGAAAGAAATTCAATGCAGTTCTGTTACAGAATGGATGCATTTGTTAACTGGCAGCAATTAATTAATATGTGGCAACTGCACACTACAGGAGGGCACAGAACAACCAGAGTACAGAAACACCATTATATGTCCTTATCGTCTCTTCCAAGCTATCTTCTACTGGGCATTTCTTTATATTTTGACTATACTGAATATACGTATTCTCCCTCAATTATACTCCATAAAGTCCAAATGTTAATGCTTGATTGGCAGCGATGTGCTTCTGATATGTTCTTGGGAAAGCTAATGATTTGGGGTGGGGGTTGGATAACCACTGCAGAAAACAAAAGTGATATTGTGGTCTCACTGATCACCTTGCACTGGGCTTAAGAAGTGAAACAGGTCCTTTGTCTCCCTGCTCAACTTCATGTCATTTTGAAAATAAGTAATTTTCTTCAGGCCTACAGGAAAAAAATATTTTGTCAGGGTGACTAAACTTACTGTGCCAAACACCTTTGCATAGGTATCTTATGAAAATATAATCTGGGTTTTCCATACTATTCTTTTTGTGTTTAAAATGCAGGAAAAAAGAGAAAGCAGTTTTCTATTGTGTTTGTAAGACTTTCAAGTCTTCAGAACTCTCCGGTAGCAGAGTTCTTGACTTGAGAAGATGATTTGCAGAGGTGGGTGATACCAGACACACCATTTTCTCACTTGTAGTACTGTAACACCATGAGGACTGAATAAAATTAAGCCCTGATGGGAACTGACACCATGCTGACACAACAGTGAACCACAGCTCCTGCATGAAGAATTCACAGATGAGAGAGGGAAGAGAGTGGACTAGATACAATGAGTTGGCCAAGGAATGGGTGGCAGAGTCAGGGATGGAGCACCAACATCGCCAGCCTTGGTGCAGTGCCTAGCCTGGATGACCTCCTGGCACCCACTCAGAAGGAAACCCTGTTATCAGCTCATGTGCCTATAGCCACGCAACAAAAATACAAACAAGCTCTACTCTCTGACAGATTATGCTGATCAGCTGCTAAGACGACACTGACTTAAAAAGCACTGAGTGGTTTAGAGAAACTGTATGGTGACTGCATGCACATCAGTATCTTTCAATGCTGAGGAGTGTGGTCTGTCCTGACTCCTGGCCACTGATGTCTTAACAATGTCAGGAAGAAAGAGAGCAACTTCTTGGAAGCGTAGAAATCCCACTAGGGAAAAGAAACCAAAATGATGCAACAAATCCAATAATGAAACAGCTAAAACCTCAGAAAGTACAGAGAATGCCGTGTCCTGCCAAGTTTACAAACTCTCCATCATGGTACTTCTTGCTTCAGGCCCGATCCTCTTGAGTCTTGATTTAATAGGTATTTTTCCAAATGACTTGAAGCATACAGGACCAGACTTGCTTTGTCATCCTACTTCCTTATCTTAAGCCAGCATTTTACTGGTTCCAGAATATTAATTGTCATAATAACTGATTGTGTAATGGTAATAAGCTGCAGAAATGTGAAGTTTTGATAGGCAACTACTTGCAGGAATCGGTAACTAGACCCACCATGGTGTTAGAAGTAGGTGATACAGCAACTCTCTTTGAAACTCAGCCAGACACTGCTCCGAGTTGCTGGTGTTGCTTCTTTCGCAAGCTGAAGCACTGCTGTCAGGTTAAATGAAACATCCTTACTGGTGTGCACCAGTGTGACACTGTCTAGAGTAAAAGATAAATCTGATGTGAATTAAGTCAAGGCTCATCAGACTTACACAGGTCTGGGCAATTCTTCACTGGGAATTTGCTGTCACGATGCTAATAAGACATAACAGAAATTAGAACTGGACCAAATTATCTACGTACATTGACATATGACAGTTATGTGCGTGACTTGACTACAATGAGAAATCTAAAATGGTAACAAGGTTGGGGTGATCCACATTTGTATCTCATGGAGCTCTTAAATGGGATTTCTGAAATAATGTGGTTTAAATGTCCACCCACCACCACACTTACTAGGCTTTACAACCTGGGATAATATTATTTTCTTTTAATACAAGAGGAAGAATAAATATGTTTCCCAGTGCTTCTCAACAGAGATACTGAGCCTGACTTCTCTCCCTCTGCCAGCCCCAGGGCAGCAGAGGCTAACCACCCCCCACCAATATACCTGAATACTGAGTGTGCTAGCAGGATTGCTCCCTGCATGCCACTGAAGTAGCTGAAAAGGAAGTGTCAGCTGCTGAAGGAGAGCTGGAAAGACGGCTGTTCTCAAAAAAAGACCCTGACTTTGTATTTGAAGTGTGTTTACTTTGAAAGACGGATTTCAACTAAATTCTTGCAACTTCAACAACTCTAGAAACACCATTGAAAAAAAACCCAGCTAGTTTTCTATCTAATTTAAAAATAAAGGTGTTCTTTCATTATTTTGTTTTCTAATTTACAGTACAATATCCTATCATCAGGAATTGATACCTGAAAGGATTGCCC